CCACTGCTTCCTCTTCCTGCTGTCTCGGGCCTCCAGTCCCAGCGTCCTCTGGTGGGAGGGGGAAGGGTGCAGAGCTGCGGCTCTGCGGGGCCCTCAGAGGCCTGCCCTGGGCCCCCGCCTCCTCCGGCTCCGGCTCTGGCTCCGGCTCTCCCCCTTCACCCTCTACACCAGGAGGCCCCAGACGTTTCTCAGCAGCCTCTGGAGGCTCTGGGGTCTGAGTGTGAATCTCCGAGTCCCTGGGTGTCCATGCTCGAGCCTTTCCAGAGCTCAGGGTCCACCTCCACCCTTCGGAGGGCCTCACACTGCTCTCACCATCTTCCACAAGGCTGGGCCTCGGTTCCGCTGCCTCCACTCCTCTGGGGCTGCTGTCTGGAGCCTCCCTGGCCAGGGTCTCCGACAGCCTTGCAGTCTCCACCGTGGCCATCCGCCTCTCTTTTCTCCCGCATTCCTCCAAGCAGTTTTTTCTCTCTTCTGAGCCCGGCCTCCACTCTGATGCCTCCAGTGGTACCGAGCTCTGGTCCTGAGGCTCTCGGGAGTCAGGCCTCCATTTATGGGCTTCTGTCAGGCCCAGCTTCTGGTGGCCGGATTCCCCTGGGCTCAGTCTACTTTCTGCCGCCTCCGTTCTCCTTGGGCTTTGTTCTCGAGGCTCTACCAGTCTCAGACTCCGTTCTGGAGTTTCTCCAGGGCTCAGCCTCCATTTCCGGGCCTCTAAAGGTCGGGAGCTCCTGTCTCCCCCGTCTCCAGGGCTTTGCCTCCAGTCCCTAGCCTCTGAAGGCCTGGGACTTGACTCGCGGGCTCCCCCTGCCCCCAGCCTCCTCCCCCTGGTCTCTCTGGGACTCAGCCTCTCTTCTCGGGCCTCCCTTGCCCTGGGGCTCTGATCCCGCATTTCCCCAGGGCTGGGCCTTCTCTCCAGGAGCAGTTCTTCACTCCGCTGCATCTGCTGCTGTCGCTCCTGCCGGATGAATCGGTTCTGGTGCACTGGCCCGATGGCCTCCAGAAGGACGGCAGACTCATCTGGGTCTGGAGGCCCAGCCTCTGCAGTCCCCAGCACCGGGCTAGGATCCCCAGGGGGCAGTCCAAGCTTGGCCCGGCGGCGCTCCAAGAGTCCCCGCTTCCAGGCAGGCATCTGGGACAGGCGTTCCCGCTCGGCCATTTCGCGGCCCCGAACAGATGCCTCCTCCTGCCCTAGCAGCTGAAGCTTCCAGTCTGGGATGGTGGCCATGGTCGCCCTGAGGTGAGGGTAGGGAGCGCTGGGGACAGAGAACAGGAAGGAGACTCCAGAGAGGCCGGGTGTCTGGGAGGGGGCGGAGGAAGTGGAGATGGGGACAGAGAGGGCAGCGGGGCTGAGGATGAGGATGGAGGGAAAGGGAGGGGAGGGCCGCGAGAGGAGGAGACGGAGAGTGAGGCCGCCGGCTGGGGGCGGAGTGAGGACAGGAAGAGTAGAGATTGGGGCGAGGGCACCGGCCAGATTTGGCAGCAGGGGCTCCCGGGTTAAAGGCGGTGCCAAAGAGGCGAGGAGGTGCGTGAGGAGGGAGTCTCCGAGGGCGAGGAGGGCCGCGGGCGGGGACAGAGGGTTCGGGCAGGTCCCCTCCAGGACGGGACGGGAGGCGAGAGTGGGAGGGTCAGAGCCCCGCGGAGGGGCGGCGGGCCGGAGGGGAGTCGGGGAGTCGGGGAGGTGAGGAAGGGCGGGCAGGGGTGAGATGGGGTCAGGACGGGCACTGCGGGGCAGGGAGCGCGGTCCCAGCGCCGAGGTCCGGGCCCCTCCAGCCCGCCACGCCTCTCCGCCCCGGCCCGCACCCCGCCCCGGGCGGGCCAGGGAAACACCCTCCCCGGGGACTTTCGGAGCCGGCGGGGGT